GAGTATTTAAAAATAAGGAGGAAAATATTAAGCGAGCCTGTTTTTAAATAAATTCAAAATCAGCATACGGCATTTTAGTTTTACAAATATTACCAGGCATAAGTTTAATTAATTTTTAGGGCAATATTAAAGGGCCTAAATATATATCGTACCTCGTTAAGTATTCGTGTAAGAAAATATTCTTCATACAAGTTGTTAAAGTATTCGTAACATGTGTTATCTAATTACAATATAATTTCTCCCTTTGTTATCCGTCCCTTCATTTTCTATTCGTCTTTGATATAGATGCCATTCAACCTGGTTTTACGGTACAAAAGATCCTCTGTGATATACAAACTAATGAATAAACCTATGTCCATTGCTGTTCCGTTGCTTGGCAACCGTTTAATGCACCAAGCGATCAATATTCGAGGCGCCACAACGGTAAATAATAGAACATTGGTGAACTAGAATATATATTCATGAGTTCATAGTAAATATGCAATTCTGTCATTTTAGTACATTTTATTTAAAAAAAAAGAAATTGTACCTGAGAGGGGTGAAGTGATAGGAGGATAATGAGGAGCTGTATGATTTGTACTCTTCACATAATATTATTAAAATGGTCAAATCAAAGAACATTAGATGGTCAGGGAATGTGGGCCAGTGGGGGATGTGAGAAACGTCTACGGCATTTTGGTTGATAAACCTGAAAGGAAAAGATCGCTCGCATAGATGGGGGAATGACATTAAAATGGAACTTACGAAAATTGGTTGGAAGGTGTATATTGCATATGAGTAAGCTATATTATTTTACTATGGAAACGTTTTTCTACTGTGTCCTGACTAACTCCCTGACTTATTAGTATATTATAATAAAATATTACCCCTGTTAGTTACTAAACTGGGCGAGAAGTAGCGCGCTGGATCTCGGAAGATGTGCGGAGGAAATTTCTCAAAGGTGGTCCACAAAAGCCCCCTCATATCACGCGGTGTTTGCTACTTGCAGAGTTTGAACCCGAGACTTCCAATCATTCCCAGAAAGGTGCTATGAATGATAAGAACATGATAAGATAACATATCAGTAAGAAGGGTCTCCATTTTATGTCCGTATTTTATACCTTGATATTAATTTTAAGGATATTTTATGACTGAATTTTCAGGTTCAAAATTATTTACATTTCTCTTCAGATCAGATCTGGAAAGCTACTCTTTTACATTTTCCATGTGACCTACATTTAAGTATGTCTTAGATTTAATAAAACATTTAACATTATCTTCCGAGTTTCAGTAGACCTGTACCGATGCGTTCAGTTTATCCGTGCGTTATATCTGAGTCCCTCAAGTTGCGCTCATAAAGTAGTTTTTATTGTTTGTTGTGTCTGTTCATCGTAGATGGCTGGCTTCTGGGTTGTTGCGAGGACCTCTAAATCGTTGGTAAACTTCTACCAGACTACACGGCGGTACAACCAAGAAGACTGCCATCTTCCTACTCACCGCCGTGAAAACCTCAAAACCTACTTAACATTCATCGCAATTTTTCTTTTCTCTTTCGAAACCTTGTTCCATGTCAACTTTAAACTTAAGATACATTAAGATGGCTGTCTTCTGGGTTGTAGCGTCTTGTAGTCTGGTAGAAGTTTACCAAAGATTAAAAGGTCCTTACTGCCTCCTGCAACAATAACTTATGAAAAGTTGGTAAACTTCTACCAGACTACAAGACGCAACAACCCAGAAGACGGCCATCTTTGTATTTATCACCGTGAGAAACTCACATCCTCCTGAAGATACATGTTTTGTGTCGATGTACGAATTATTTATTGCAACATAAAGTATCAATTAACATTTCCGTTTTGAGTTTAATTTTTAATGGAAATTTCTTCGATCGTTTCTGAGTTTGTATGGTAATTTCTTAACTTTCGTCGGCCTGTTTTAGTTCATCAGACAGTTCTCCTCAACGGGGCGATTGATGAATGAGGTCGAATCTCACACATAAATTATATCATTTCTTGGTATTACCACCGTTATAATTGTTTTTCGATGACGATGTTGAAATACTGACAGACAAAACCACAGTTCTGAATAAGGAATGCAGTTTTTAAAACACTTAATGTTGTATAATATACAGAGTGATTCAAAAGGTTAGGCCCAAACTGAAGGAGCGTATAAAGGGACTCAGAGAGAACAACGTTCGAATAGGAATCCATGTCCTCCGAAGTTATCCTGAGTCAGTCGAGGCCACTGAAGGTATGGAAGTCTGATAACATACACTTGTTGTAAAGTTGGACCCCGGTACCCATTGTAGAGGAGGCTGGGTGGTCCCCAGAGCCGGTCTGGACGCAGAGGCTAGAGGAAGAATCCTCTGCCCCCGTCGGGGATCGAACCCCGGTCGTCCAGTCCGTAGCTAGTCACTATACTGACTGAGCTATCCCGGCTCATAATATAATCCTAGTACATTAATAAAAAACAAATTTAAACTACTAGGAGAAGAGCAAAATACGATTATTTCAGCCGTATGTTATCAGACTTCCCTACCTTCAATGACCTCGACTGACTCAGGATAACTTCGGAGGACATGGATTCCTATCCGAAACTTGTTCTCTCGTAGTCCCTCTAAACACTCCTTCAGTTTGGCCCTAACCTTTTGAATCACGCTGTATTTATGTCTAACTTCAGTTTGATTATTACTGGTTTACTTTGCCCAGTAATTACAATTTGACTGGCATCTGTCATGCATGCATCCGTTGTAATGTAATTATTTTATTATAATGGCAACGCGAAGTGGAGTATCTTTTTATTCACGTGCACCTCGTTTTTTCTAAAGATGGCGTTTTAGTTTAAATCTCACAGACGAGTTTGGTTTGTCATTGCCTTGGATTTGACATCAAGAATTAGACCAGAATTAATCTGCAGACGGCATTTCCGTTACGTAATCATGTGTTCCGGTACTTTTCCCGTTTTGTCATGTTCTTCGTATGTCGTGAGGAGGAATAAGACGGTGGTACTGCATTTTCCGCAATATGAAACATTGCTTATTTATTTACGTTGTAAGGTCCAATTAATCTTTTCTGCATTTTTCTAATAAAATTATGTTGATAGCTTCCATTTTCTGTAAAATATTCCGTATGAAACCTCAAAAGGTATAAAAGATGGGTGGGTACATGTTAATTTATTATATTTTCTTAGCGAAGTTTTTCGGTTTGCATTCTTTATCCATGTACGATCTGCCTTTACTAATTTCATGTTGGTTTTGTAAAAATAATTTTTTGTATATTTTTGAGTCCCTTGTTTAGAATTTTTAGTATACTTTCTACCCAGCACTGAGTTCGCTGATTCATCGATAATTATATCTTTATCTGCCACTGTACTTAAAATGAATATTAGTTCGATTAACAGTGAGACTAGTACAGTAGTAGTATTTAAAACACTAATTTAATACGAGTAAAGACACATTGAACAAATGTTTGTTATTTTTACGCCAAAACTTATGTTTCTGGAAATTAATCTAGTAATTAATACGTTAATATTATGATTTTTACACATTCATATATGAACACTTTTTGTGTTCAGCTTACAATATTTCGTTGTGCCCCTTCGGCGTAATTTTGCATACGGAGAATTAAGCCATATAATTTGAAGCTGCAACTGACCCTCCGGACATACTGAGTCTGACGTGACCGGATCCATTTCACTGTTAGTTAACTCATGCTCACGATCGTTATGTCAAAACCAAAATAACGCGTATCACAGAAAAATGAGATGCCAGCCTCAAGGCTTTATAAACAAAAATAGTCCATGCTAATTAATGTTGCCTGATAAAATTTGTACGTAGTTTTCCATATTTTGTAATTACTGAATTGGTATAAGAACTGGATGTTTCAAAATTGCCCTCCGGTTTGATTTAAGCCGCGCTTAAGTATGCGTCGCTGGAACACAAGGCTGATGTTTTGGAATCTGTTTGGAGGCGGGGCTGTTTTGTGAACGTTGAACTGTAAATGTTGAGGTCTTGCAATAGCTTCATCCCTTCATCCACACAGTCAGTCTGGTTCTGTTAATCAAAATTCGAGACATTTCTCCACTAAAGTTGGTTGATGTCTTTGTACCAACATGAACGGTAAGAACTACGAAGCTTAATGATAGTCATATTTTATATCGTCTGATTTAAATAACAATAATCCATTAAAAGGTAAATTATATGATAAAATTATTTAAATATGATGTATTGTACACTTAAGAAACAATTAAAAACGAAAGCTTCTATGTACCATAATAAAAAGGCAATTGCAGAGGGCTGAGGCAAGCATATGACAGAATGTGGTTAATGTTATTTATTTGAATTCTTTGTCTACAGGTTTAAACTAAACACACAAGATATTCTGTGAAATGTAGCAACATCTAGAAAAGTTAATTATAACGGTGTTTTTATTTCACATGTGCTATTTATACAAAAGAAAAATCTCTTGAATACAACCATAATTTTACGGTGATTTGGTATAATCAGAAATTACAAGAATAAGTAATTGACTTATTATTTGCCAACTAAATATTGAAAACTTCCTGGCGACAAGAACTAAATGTCCCACGACTCCTTTAAATTTCGTTAACTCTACTCAGGAGGGTGTAAAATGTATATGATGTATTCATAACCTGTAAAGAACACAGACACATTGCAGTAGGTGAAAAGCTTTAAAATAAAGTTGGTACAATAGTATCTGAGTGCTTAAATAGGCCTAATTCAGAATGTTCTGTTCATCTGTAACACCAAACTGATGAGAACAGCAGCGAACCTTCAGGATCTAGTAAGAGGCAGTGAATTTATTGAGTAGCTGATGAAGAAGGCTGTCGCTGTAGATAGGAATTTGAGCGGAAATATTTCTATGGGTTATATTGTACAGGAAAATTTGAAAACGTGTTATTCAGTGGATTAATATATTAAGATGAATGTTTGCTCTGAGCGTAACAGTTGTTTTCTTATGGACCAGTGATTAACTTGTAATTGTTTACACCGTCAAAATTATTTTATTAAATTTAGGAGTAATCGGCATGTAAATAAATGTGTTATTTCGATTTTTATTTTATTAAATTTAGGAGTAATCGGTATGTAAATAAATTTGTTATTTCGATTAAATATACAGCTTGTCCAAAAAGTATTTTTACACACAAGGTTTAATATTAATTTTTTATGTGTATACATCTTGTGGGACACCTGTATTTAAAGCAATTAAAAAGGTAATATCATGTAACATATTTTCATATTAATGTATATTGTTTCTCGCGAACTTAACGAAATTATTGTGCGTTACAAGCCTATACAGGTGGTGAGATACGTCCTGTATACGTTTTCTTTAATAAGTACTATTTATTGCTTACGCATAGGAGGTTTATACAAAATGTTAGTCAAAATATCTGAAGGGATTATATTACGACACGAGAGACAGGTACAAATTGGCGGATAACGAACTATTTAAATTTATTTATCAAGACCTTCATGATATAATGCATCCTATTGTCTTATATTTTGTTACTGGCCTGTGTAATAGGGAAGTCGTCAACCCAGCACACAATATATTAAAATATTTAATTTTAAAAATCACGAGACGTTTCGACTAAAGTCATTAAATAGGAATCGACGTGCTTCTTGCTTAGCTGAGCGACTATTTTTTTAAGGAGGACTCTGACCTGTTGACTTAGTTACTAGTCAATGTTATGTTGTCGTGGTATTCTTAGTTTTAAACATGGAAATGATTTGAAGTTTTACCTGCGAAAAGAATTCCATGGTTAGTTTCCATAATGCACCTGCACTGAAATACAAGGGTTTTTGTGCCCGGACGAGAATCAATAAAATATGACGTTTGAATCTGTTTGTGCGCTTATACCAGTGGCAGCTGTAAGCTGCATCTCCCACAGCAAGACTCTGCAAACAAAAATGTAACAGTTTACACAAATCCAGTAACGGCATTAAAACTTCATGAACATGTGCTAGTCAAGGCTCATTGGTATTGCCGTCGTATAATTGAGGTTGTTATGGGCTGGGATAGGGGAGACAAAATGCATAAGCCTGCTGACTTTTGGTGGCGAAACGTACTGGAAAACGTCCACGTGGAAGACCAGATACAAATGTGTCTTAGGAAGGAAACTGAGAGGACCGGATGTATATACACTTAGCTGAGGAAGTATCGACTTCCGGACCCTTTTATTAGTTGTGTTGAAAGTACGGATTTTGCTACCGCGATGTTACTTATCCCGTGCACTGCCTTATTTGATAATACACTGCTTTCATTGCGATATGAGGAGAATTAAAAAAAATCTGTAGCTTAAGATCAGACAGTGGCATGCTGCGAGTGTGGTTCAGTTGTAATTAATTTCTGCCGAGCTATTGTGATGTAAAGATGGTTGCTAAACTACAGTTTTTCACCAAAGACGAGCAACATTAATGCGTAATATATCTGCATTATTAGTTCGGCCTCTTTTAAAAATGTCACTCCAGTCGTACAAAAGTCGTTGTGGCAGCCAATCGTCGATGGATCTCCGCATCTTTTAGTGAACTGTTGAAGCTGTCATTTTTACGTCAAATTCACCCGGCAAAACGGACAATAACTGAACCGCACTCGCAGCATGTCACCGTCTGACCTTGAGCTACAGCATGACCAGACCTTCACAATGCTTCTTTTACTTTTTAAATCTCCTTTTATATAGGAGAATTAGGCATAGTTAATAACATTATGCCCCACACGAGTTTCTTACCTCAGTCTTCACCCGTTCTCCAACATGACAGTAGACAAATATTTGTGTCAGGCAGAATAAGAGAGTACAGCAGTATTTTAGAGAAACACTCTGAAACAGTAGTTTAGAAATTAGGACACTTCAGGCATTATAATAATTTAACTCATTTTGTGATATTAATAATATTTCAAATTTAAGTTTCATTAGCTTCAAATTACTTGTTATAGGATGATACTGGATGAGCAGTTTCCTGTTAAGGTTTCAGATAAACATATCAATTAGAGCTACATGAACAGGACAATTTTGTTTGTAACAGTTAGGAACATTGTAATTCGACTTCTTCTCTGATACGTATTAAAAAGAACATGGTATTTATTTTGTACTTTGTCGTTTAAAAGGTTGCTTTCACTTACCAGTGACAACTTAAACGTGTGCGTTACTATTACCAGCGTAGCAGCAATAAAGTAGATGAAAAAGATTGGACTCGTTACGCTATTTGAGTAGTTAGAAAATCTGGAAAAAAAATAAATTATGCGTTTCAAAACTGTGTGAAATCCGTATTCTTAGTTTCCTATGCAGTCACTCTAAATAATACAAACATAACCAACTCCTTTACTTAATATATAGTTTTGATTTTATATCAATAAATAATGATAATAATAATACAAAACCAAAAAGACAACAACAAATACAAAAAACAACAAAACAACAACGGAATTGTACCATTTACATGTCAAAGGAAAAACACGAGTGTAGCAAACAACATTATATAACACCTCTCAGTTTGAATTATATGTTAAAAAACACTTGCTGTTTTAGCTGTTGTTTTGTGTGTTCGTGTGTCTAAATCATAGTGGTCAACAAAGGAAAATTTGGAATTGGAAGACGAATTGCATCAGTTTCGAATAAGGAAAGATAACATTTAAAACTATTTTAAATACTAAGAAGAAGATGCAGATTTTGTTGGGGTCTCCTAGTGCTTAAGGTACGAAGATTTAGGTGATCCAAAACATTCGCGTAACTGTGATTTATTTGAGGTGAAACATTATTGTAGCACAGGGCTAAATACTTCCGCTGAACTTGCTCAAGTGCCAGAAGTAGACGAAGTATTCAGTGCGCCGGATGAATATTTATCTTTAGATCTAACTAAATGAAAGTACTACACCAAAATAATTTTAGTGAATGAAAGAGAAATGAATGAGATACTTACATCTTAAATGTTGACGAAAATATGTAGTCGACATATTGGTGGAAATAATTTTGAATCAAGGAAATTCCGAAATATTAATAGTCTAAATAAAATTAACACGAGATGCACAAAATGTACATACATATATATTTATATATTAAAAGACCGTAATATTATTTTTTATAGTAAAATATCTTAAGTAATTGTGGTTTTACCAACAACAAGCTTCTTGAGGTTGGCCGTGCACAGACCACACTTGCAGTCAATGTCCGTTTGAAATAAAGAAAATTTTTGAGAAGACTTTCTGGCCCCAAAAATTCTCAGCAACAGTAATATAATGTAAACAATTCCGTTTGTTATATCGGCTGAGTTTGTGATCTAATTTCAGGAAATTGAATATAAAACACGACTTAAGGCAAAGAAGTAAGGTTCTGAAGGTCACTGTTGTTTTTATTTTAATGTCATTCTTTTCCAGAATACCACTGCATGTTTCTCTGTAACCTAGATCATCTTCAGGTGCCACGTGAGGTTTTATTTATATCATTACTTTATTACAGATTTTAATTAGCAGGATGCCCTCAATAATTCGAACGTCGCATCGTATCCGAGAGATCGTGCCTTCAGAGACTGGTTTTCCTCATTGAAACTTTGTCGTAGTTTACTTCGATCTCTCCTGGTAAATTCCGGGATAGGACCTTCAAATTAGACCCACATAATTTCTGTCATTCATTAATCATCCTAACATTCGACGCTATGTATTCTGACACACTGCCAGTATGAGGAAATAGGCCACAGATTGGAAAATGAAATAAGTGAAGTATAACTCACTTAATAACTGCCTGATGCAGCTTAATGCACTCCACCAAGTGGTTGGTCGCATCGTCTTGATCAAGTGCCAGTTCAGTTGCTGCGAGACCATAGAATCCGCCAGACTCAGGAAAAGTATTGGGCCCGTCTGATTCCTTTATGGTATTTTGTTCTCGCATGCCGATGAGACGCAACGGACGGGTATTATCGTTGTTTACTTCACGTGTAGACCCGATAAATTCCGAGCTTATTTCTGCCTTGGGAAACTCCGTGTCAGTGTCTCCCACCTTATATCTTTCGTCTATCTCAATCAATGAAGACGATACGATTTTGAACTGTGTTTCAGTGTAAACAGTTATTGTTAATATAAATGGCATTACTGCGGAGATATAAGCAAAGGATACAAAACATATGGCAGCTTGAATTGTGTACAGGTGCCAGTACCAATAATCTTCGACTAGATCCCCGGGAAGCCACATTATAAGCACAGAATACTCGAAGTTTACATTTATCCGCTCAATATTTTCCGAGTTTTCATGCCCCGATTTTGAGAAAAATAGTCTGATCATTGGGGTCATATCAAATGACACGCATAAAGCTGTTACAGACGCAATAGTGATCCATGTGATAATTATTGCTGACCGTTTGGATGTTCTGATTATTTCCATTTGCTTGTTGTTTGCCCTCACCATTTCCGCACTAAATATTGAATTCGTTTCTAATTCATGAACCATAGTGCAAAACTCTTCCCAGTTCACCATCACATATAAAGCAGTAAAAACGCAAGCTGCAAGCCCACTCGTAGTACCAATGTTTTCAACAATAATTTCCATATTACCCCAGTAGAAGTAGAAAGACAGTAGTTGCAACATTAGAACAGATATGTAGACCAAAAAGAACAGAGAGTGGCCGAATCTGTTCAGTTTCCATTTCCATGAACTTGGGGAAGTTGTCTCACTTGGAATAATTCCGACATTCCTTAACAGTTTCATGTTGAGCGCCATCAAATCCAGTCTTTCGTGTATTTTCTTCGATGGTGAGGTTTGATTTTCCATGTTTAAATATTTTGGCTACCTCAGAGCCATTTTCTAGCAAACATAAAATTGTTTTTCTTATAATCTGTAAATTTCTTCTCCGTACTAAATTAAGATTCAGACAAATTTATATCACTTGATATGTGTTCCACTCCAAAATTGCTATCGTCCAAAACTAATTAAGTCTGTGTGAACGTCTTAATTCTATGTAACTTATAAAAGTCGAATAATTCTGTAAATTGAAATTGTTCACATTCATACGGCTTTGAATTCCACTCAGTAATTGCTTAAATCTAAAGAATAATGTTAATTCCTTGCGCAAAAGTCTCGTTATGATGTTAGCTTTTAACAATCTTGGAGAACTATGTGATTTATATCTAAGGAATTCGTATTTAATTTATAAATAATATGGATATCATCACAGCTGTTTGTTATAGACGGCTTTAATTTTCCATTATATAAATAATTTCATTAGACTTTTTACAGTATTTACATTTAAATTAGCGTTACTAAAAATTCGTTTGAACCCTCTGAAGTATGATACTCTTATAAGACCATTTATTGTCACGAAATGTTCTGTAATTTTAAAATGCTTGTGTTCATATATTATTTTTTCAAAGTCAATATATTTGTGATTGACGGCGTATAATATTTCTATTTAACATCGAAAATTCATTTCCACCCTGATTTTCTCTTTTGCCTACAAGACTTTTTCAGTCTTAGTCCCCTCCATCTTTAATTTTTAAAATATTCACTCGAATTAAGTCTATAATTATGAAGGAAAGAAGTTTTTAAAGTCTAATAAATTATTTTAAAAGAGTTAAATTATGATATATATAAATTTAACATGGAAATATATTATGTATTCCTATTGTAAAGTAATAATGTACATGATGTAGTGAAATGAGGAGCAGTTGTACTTTTATACATGTTTCCCTAGCCATAAACACGCGAGCGAGCACGCACGCTTTTTGCCAGAGTATTTTAGAACACAGCTTCCAAACACGTTCCAATAATACTGCTTAAAGCCCTATTACCGCAAAAATTGATAACTTCTTTGTGCTACTTTATTTTTACTAGAAAACTTCCCTTGAAGAATCGCGGGGAAACCGAATTTATAACACATTTTTATTGAAAACTGTAACAAAGCAGCATATAAGAATGCACGTAACACGATTTAATTGTAGTACAATCTGAAATGTGATCTTGTACTGAGGTTATAACTATGCTGCGCTGTATAGAAGAACGCGCACGTCGTAGGCCATTGATGAATCATCACGTATTATCTCATACGGCTCAAAATAATTTGACAGTAGTTATAACAACATACACATGCAAGGTACAAAATATCTTAACATAAAGACAACAACAGTGAATGTAACACGTCATCGTCAGAACTTATTAGAGTTACGCAATGTGGAGTTGATACATCTGGACTTCGTATGGGACAGGATTGGCTTTTATTTGATAAGAATATGATTTGGTACATTTTCTTGGTGCATTTTATGTTTTTGAGTAATGTGGTAGTACAGATCTTTATTTTACTTGTCCTGCCAGTCTGCAGTATGTTACTAAAATCAAGTCTTATTACAATTATTAAAGTTTTACACTATTTTTATTCAGTCGTCATGTTATTATGTTCGACGTACACAAAAATAAATGTCCGTATTTTATAAAGGTCTGTCACAATTCACAACTTCACGAATGGCACTAGTTTTGTTCCTATTTGACGAAATGGGATACTGCACGTTTCCTTCTAAGATTCGTGCAGTTTAAGCAGGACGGTGTGTATTTTGTACGATATGTTCAGAATCTGTTAAAGAAAATTACAAATTGTAGCATTTTAATTCACATTGAATGCATCATAACTTTAATTGTTTTTTATAAAAATTAAAAATAAAATTACACTGTAGAAACCTACGTGAGAAATTTCTTTCCATGAATTACTTAAGCTCAGTTCACACTTTTATTAACAATTTCTCTAAGGCACGGTGTGTTAGTGTACTCCCGCTAACACCTGAGTCTCCATTTTAATTCTTAGGTGTCATTTTATAACAGAACTGAAGGGATGTTCTGTTACAGTTGGTATTGATAGTATTTTGGACTTTATTAGTCGTCATGTATTCTACAACAAGCAGTTTCGGGAGCTGAATCTTCTCCCGACGAGGAACAGACCCTCTCTGATGGACTCGGTTGTATAGGTGGTACCTTCCACCTGAAGACGGGAAAAGATTCAGCTTCCGAAAAATAGTGTTCTATTTGTAGAATACAGGACGTCGGATAGAATTCAAATAAGTATTCATATTAATTTCATACGCAGTTTTATTTCCACTAGTCGTGCTATACGTCCGACCCATCTCACGCCTCTTGATCTGTACCCGTTCAGAATTATAGCACGCACATGCTTATTACTTACCAGGGCGAATAGTTCAATTGATAGAGGTAGCAGCTTGCCTAGTGTGACCTGTAATGGCTTCTGGGCTCGAATCAGGACTGTCAGGATGAGACGCCGAAAAGTCATAGATCGCTGGAACCAGGCGCAGTTGTAAGCTGTCTGTCCCACAGCCAAGCTCTGAACGTAGAGGACACAGGTTATGTTATGGGCCCGTTAGTGGCCGAGTCTCACCTCCTCGCAACAGCAGTGGGAAAGCGCATTGGGGTTCAACACTCTTGAGAACTTACGAGGGGATGACTGATGACGTTTAAGAGCAAAGTTCTGAAGAGAACATTGTAACATACGAATGCGGAAGTAGCAGGAGAATATAGGGCGTTTCATAATGAGAGCTTTGGTTTGTATTCATTGAATATTATTAGGGTGTTTAAATCAACGAGAATGAAGTAGTTGTTTATTTATGTAGCAGGTCGTAGCGGCCAGGAGCACGACATTAAGTGCAACAGATAAAACGTTATAAAAAATCTGATGAAGATAGCTGTATTTTAGGCTGTAGCACTGTATAGTTTGGTAGTAGTTTACTAAAGTTTCAAAGGTTCTTGCTGCCTCCATTATCAGGGCTACCCAGAAGACAGCCATCTTCGTACTCCCCGCCGTGATAACCTCAAATCCTAAATAGATGTTCCGTACAACCGCATGAGATTTCTGAGACAAGTGACTCAGAGATGTTTATTTATACTAACCTGGTTGATTATGCCTTGTCCAAACCATGATAAGGCATACAGTTGCGTGAGGCTTGTGAGGAAACCAGCGACATACTTCGTAGTTAAAACCTGAAATTGAAGTGGTTCGTGCTTACTAAAACACTGTATCACAAACTGGATTTAATAAAGACTTGGAAAATAAATAATAATTATGATTTCTGTCTTCTGGGTTGTTGCGCTATGTAGTCTGGTCAATGTTATCCAACGTTTCGGAGGTCATACTGCCTCCGTCATCAGGGCGATAAAGATTTCTGTCTTCTGGGGTGTTGCGCCGTGTAGTCTGGTCGATGTTATCCAACGTTTCAGAGGTCATACTGCCTCCGTCATCAGGGCGATCGCCAGACTACACAGCGCAACAACCCAGAAGACAGAAATCTTCATACTCATCGCTGTGAAAACCTCAAATCTTACAAATAATAATTAACTTCTTACGAAGATGAGGTTGGCAGATTAGTAGAATATATTAGTTAAGTAGGAAGTGCATATAGACTTTTGGTTTTAGTGTCTAATGAAAAGAGTACAAGAGAGGCCATTTGTTGATGGAGTGATATTATCAAACTGGAACACAGAAAACGATTAAATGTGAAGATGCGAACTTGAGCTTGTATCTCATAATTGACTAATGAAAGCCACGAGAAAGTTAAAATGGGCAAGAAATTAATAGGCGTATTTTAAAGGAGATAGTCATAAAACATTTTGGTTTGAAAACTGCATTTAAAGAGACCATTTCGAAAGCATGTTGTACATGGGCTGACTGAACCAAAGTCTAAGTTATGATAATTAGGTGTGAAGATTTGAAGCGATTGAATTTATTTGTCTTGGGTTCGAATTGATTTATCATTATGATTACTCGTTATATTCTTTAGCAACTCTGTTCCAGTTATATATGTGTGATCCAGTATAATGAATGTTGTATGAACGTTCAAACATTTTATCTCTACCACCATATAAGCCCTCATAGTTAGGCGCTTAAGCATAGGGATACCTTTATCTTGCCGTATGCCGTATGTCGTTTTATGAAACATTTATTGCACGAAAATGGACTTTTTCAATTCTCCAATGAATAAATACAGCAGAGAATATTTTTCGTTGCAGAGTATGTAAGTACTTACCATAGAATTCTGAAAAGTTTGTGTTACAAGCAAAACTGTAACACACAAACACGAAACGAAGATGCATTGGCCTGCCACGTCATCTACTTCATGGGCGAACCTGGAACATAACCAAAATACGCTTCATTGATAAATACTCCTCAAGCCCAAGTCTTCTGTCCCAGACGATCTGCGTCAGTCGCTATGTTCCGCAGGAAAGCGCTAACCACTGGTTCGTGTTAGTGCTTCACTGCCTGTGTAAAGTAACCTAAATTGGTTAACGCCATGCAGTCCGTGATTCGAGGTTCTTCAGAAATCGATAGTTCTTCACCTGGTCAAGAATTTCTCACTGTGTATGGAACCCGAATGTTCATCACCCAATAGGATTTGAGGTCTTCACGGCGGAGAGTCCGAAGATGGCTGCCTTCTGGGTTGTAGCGCCGTGTAGTCTAGTAGAAGTTTACCGATGTTTCAGGCGTAAAGGCGACGAGTCCCATCATGGTAAAGTTCTACCAGACTACACGGCACTACAACTCTAAAGACAGGCATCTTCGTTCTTTACATAATTCACAAATTCTCGCCACTGGACTGTATTCTAAGACAGTTCAATCCATTCTACACCGTTGCAACGTATTTATGTAATATCTGTGTTAATACATACATCCCTCGATTTAAGAACGTAATTGTTTACATGAAAACTGTTTATAGGGTGAAAATTTATAAAACTAAAATGAAATTTTCGTTACTTTGGATGTAAAAAATTCTGACTGGTTCCCGACTGCCAGAAAAATCGGCCAATATTTTTCCTACACATGTTAGAATACTACTCACTCATAGAAACAAGAGCAGTATTAGTTTTTGTGATAGTTGTTGCCTATTTAGCCCGGTAAGGCATTGATGAAGTGTTACGTCAATTGCAGGTACTGTGAAAAAACTTTTCGAATTATTGTGTAGTAATACTGGCCAAATTATAGGTTTCTTATGTAATAACGTTTACCCATACCATACGTTTTTGTGGTAGCGGTAAGTTTACAGTGAAAGTGTTTTCTGTAGAAATGAATTATCCAGATAAAAGATGTTTTTCTTTGTAAGGAATTATCTACATTTCTTTTGGCGTGGTTCAGATAACGTCTTTGTTCGCAAGTAACTTAACATATCTTTCAATCAAATTAAACTTAATATTTTTTTGTGTATGTGGAAAA